TTTTGTCAAATAGAGCCCAAAGACTAAAACAAATAAAGTTTAATAAACACGCACCTCCCTAGCACAACAGATGGCAACTAGGAAAGCTGCCTGAAGCAATGTGAGAGAGGACTCTCTTCCTTTTTTTAGTAACGATATTTATTAAATGGCTATCTCTATTGCAGACTCATTTCTGCAGGTAAAGATAAAGAAGGCAAGTGGGGAGCAGGTCCTAGAAAGGCACACAAGGTCTGTGGACAAAACGTGACAAAGGAAATGCATCTCAAACTAAGTTTTTGTTTTTTTTTTTTGATAGCCTTTGAAAAGAAATACATGAAACTCTGTAAAATCGTAGAATCCTAGGACTTTAGAGATGGGAGATACTTTAGACAAGGAATGGAAGAAGCCCTGAACTGGGAGTCTGGAGGTCCTGGTCAGACACTCCTTAGCTGTGTGATGAGAATCAGCGAGTTCATCTCTCTGGACCTTGCTGTCTTCATCTTTGAGTGAGGGAAGGGGAGCCGGGAAGGATAGAAAACCAACATTGATTGCATTACCTCTGCTGGGTTAGGTACTGTGTTAAACACGTTACCTATCTCTTTAGTGTTCATGGTAATCCCACACAGCAAGTATTTATCCACATTTCAGAGATGAAGAAAATCCCAATTGACAGCCAATTCCCAGCCCTTTCTGCCATGCCATGAGAGCTTCCCTATAACAAGGGAAGTGTGGTTCCATGTTCTTGACGGTGTTTCAGGCTCCCACGTTTCCTGGTTCTGGAACTCGTCTCTGGCCCCTCCATTCGACAGATGATAAGTCTGGAGTCTAGAGAAGTTGCCAGATCACTTAGTTACTGGCAGAGAGTGGTTACAACTGTTTTTTTTTTTTTTTCCTTTTGTTTGGTAAAGTTAGGGAGTAAAGGTAGATGAGTGACTTGAGGCTACACACTGTTGTTTTATTATCAGGTGATCATGTCAAAATGAAGACATAGATCTCCTTTCACTTCAGTTTATTAAACTATTTTTAATAAATTTAATAGAGTTTGGAGGGTCAGGGAAGGAGAGTTGACTGAGGCTTCTAGTTGATTCCCTGGGAACTAGAATTTGCTCAAGATGATCAACTTCTTAGTTATTTAACAAATATATCGAAGAACCTACTATGTGAAAGACATTCATCTGGAGTTTCTGCCCCTTATTTCACTCTTAGAAATATCACAGACTAGTTGCCTATTTAAAATGAACTACCCCAGATATTCCTTCCTTAAAGAGAAATAACCTTTCCTTTAGGAATTCTAGTTTTTGGCAAGGTTTTCATACATTATCTGCCTGAGTGGAGAAAGCAGAAGTCCAGGTAATCCAATAATAGTTTCAATGTCATTTCCAAATCAATTCTTTCATTTTTCCCACAGCAGAAATAGTTTCCTAATTACCCTGAATACTGTTAATGCCTTTTATTGTTTCCAGCACATTGACATCATGATTGATTGTCCTGCTAACCTGGTGAAGAAGACAGGGCATATATTATGCTATTCCATTGTGCTTATGAAAAAACTCAGACATAAAAAATGGGCAAATCTTTAGTCTAAGATCACAGGGCCTAAAAAGGGAGGGCTGACACTAGAAGGCAAGAGTCTTTTTTTGTTTTGTCTCTCTCAGTGATTGCCTTCCTGTCCAATTTAGGCTGATAATTTAAAAGTATTTCCACATGGGGACAAAACAGAGCCCAGGAAAGTATGGAGTGATGGCTTGCTAGTCCCCATTTGTATGTAAATCTGAGCGTTGAGGGGTTACTACCGTTATTTCTATACCCATTCTTTATTTAAAGAAATTAGAGCTGACAAAAGGCCAGAGAATTGACGATTTTAGCCAGTGGCCCAAATGTCCTAGATTCTAGTCCTTGCTTTACCATTCCCCAGCCTCCCTAGACGGTGAGAACAACTATGGCACCCAAGTCACCTGCATTTTTTTGATTGCCTTCTGCCAAAGACTTGGAAGCTAGAGAAGCCCAGGATTGCAAATGTTATACAAACAGAATCCCAAAAACACAGTGACATGGAATGCTAATGTCACCAGAGATCCTCTGAGCTTGCAGATCAAAATATAGCTGGCAGCAATCACACTGTAAAGAAGCTCTTATGAAAATAACATCTCTACAGCTAGTCAGACTGATTCCTTCGCATCATGGAGAAAAGGCTGGCCCATTCCACTCACTGTCCTTCCAGAATCCACCCTGCTGTTTCTCATCTTGCTGCCTTTTTTTAAGCCATTCAGTCCTCCGTTCAAATGCCTCCTTCTTTCCTCTTCAAATCTTAAGCAGGACTTCAGGTCTAGCTAAATTCCCCCACACCTCTGTGAAACTACTTGACTTCCCAAATGCAACATCTCCCTCTTCAGAGCTACTCATTTTTCCCTTTAGAGTGCTAGTCTCTCTGCAGAGTTGTTCGTGTTGTTAGTCTCATGTTCTGTTCTGTTCACCTGGATGAGGAGCTCTTTGGGCATGAGGACTGTGGCTCTCGCTTTTTGTGTGTCCCCATGGTGACCAACAAGATGCCTCACATCTAAGAGATACATGCTTTACAGTCACACATTACTAATGCCAGATGGGATACAGAATCCCATGTTGCACTTCTATTCACAGGATGAGGCAACCAAGCCTTCCCACATGTGTCTGTCCCAACCCCAGTTACAATCTTGAGCATTGCTATTACCCCTGGGGGTTGGGTTGCCTGATTTCGCACATAAAAATACAGGACACCCAGCTAAATTTGAATTTTAGGTAAACAATGATTGTCTTCTTTTTTTAGTATAAATGCATTCTCCAGATTTTTAAAGTTTAAAATTAAAAAATGATACCTGACCTGTACTTGCATGACCTACCTCACTTACCTCCCCCTAATCCTGGCCCTGTTGGGTCCTGTCTTTATTTAAAATTTTGATATTTGTTCAACATGGATTTTTTGCATTAATTTTGAGTTTTGAAAATATTGCGTTAAAATATCATTTATTTTGATTACTGAGTCCTTTGGTCCCCCCTTAAATTTTATACCTCACGTGAGTACTTCACTTTCCTCACCTAGTCCCAGACCTGCTCTGATCTTCCTTTTCTCATTTGTAAAAGGACGATAATGATACACCACTGGGAGGGTGAAATTAGCCCAGTGTCTGACATACAGTATTTATTTAGTAATTATTTTGTGTATCCACACTGTCTGGAAGTTTTTTTTTTACAATGAAAAGTTTGGTGATTCAGTCTCCTTCTCTCATAATCACATTTTAAACCAAACTCATAATTGTTAATTTTCAAAGTAAGTTTTTATCGCTCTCGTAAGTGGAAAGGGCTTAGGAAATCTGCAGTTCTCAGAATGATCATGGTCCAGACCTCCACAAAAGCGCCCCCTATTTTGATGGCAGACATCCTATTTGCAAGGAGAAAACCAAAGAGACAAGAAACAGCTCTGGCTGCTACACCTGTGGCACCCCTGGATGTGGAGAGCCAGGGCACTGAGGTCCCACTTGCTATGTAACCAGCTTCCCTCGAAGGATAAACCAGCGCATTGTTCTTCTCCATATACTTTGTTTTCTTGGAGCTAGTTGTACACTGATATTTCACAGTTGTAAATGTTAGTCACTTTATTTTAAGCTCTTTCTACTTAAAAACTTCAGTGCATTTGTCTGAAAGGGTCAGCATATGAGTGTAGGGAGTGGAAAAGGACGATGGGGATTTTTAGGATTTTAGATGATTAAAAATATACACACATATGCCCTGCTTTTGGCTTTTTCATGAAAAAATCCTGTAGGGTTACACATCAGCCATTTGTTCAGAAAAAAATGATAAATTAAGCAAGTTGCAGAAAAGAGTGACTGCTTTAAATGTAGATGTGGTGTATATGTATAAGCTTTATGTAATCTGGATTTTGTCATTGGAAGAGAACATTTGGAAATCTGTTGGATGGTAATTTCTATGGATCCCAAAACACATTATCCTGTTCGGCACAATTTATGACCTGGGGTCTCATTGCATCATATACACAAATTACTGCAGAAACTTACATAATTTCACAGAGACTGAGTATGGAAGAAGAATTGGTCTGCCACCGGGACCATAAATAAACAAATCTGTAGGGTGTTTGACTAAAGTTTAGATACTTTAATAGATTTGACAAAGCTCTTGAAAACAGTTTTCTCTTAAAGGGAAGATAATGCCATCCATAAAGTTATATAGGTCCTTTTATCCATGGGAATGTTGTTTTAAAAAGATAATGGAGATTCTGTTTTATTTGGTTTTAATTGTTTTACTACAACCATCAAAAAAAAAAAAAAGATGGAGAAAAAAAGAAACTAATGAAAATTCCAAGTGAATACTTTATTTAAAAAGTCTTTTTTTCCCTGTATCTTTGCCTGTTACAGTCATAAGGGAAAATTTCCTCATGACCTCAAGCTGTGGGTTCCTTATTATTATGGTTAGCATTCCACTGCATGACAGAACGGAGATTACAAACACTATATTTTCTAGTAAAGCATCTCTTTTGATTTTGGTACAGAAGTTACAATAGGGCCTATGATATAATGGTATGAAATTCTGAATTCTGGTGATTTACCTTAAATTTCTTTTCTAATTTAGTTTTTATCCTCTCAATCATTTTTTATTCAGAAGTGTGCTTACATAACAGAGGAGCACAAAGCATTGGTATTTGAAGGCAAAAAAAAAAAAAAAATCCTTGTTTTTACTTAATTGCTCAATGTCTGGAAGGGAAGAATACATAGATTTGCATGGAGTTGAATATGGACATATGTGTAACCATCCTAAGAATGTATTGATTTTCATCAATTTTAATTTTTATTTCAGAGGAAACCAACTTTAGAGACCAAATCATGTTAGCTGTGTATTGAAAATAATCTTTCATTTTTATTGGTTGGACTCTATAACTCAAGTGTATTTCTGAATTTTTTTTTTAACCTATAATGTCACTAACATTAAATTTTCTAAATCAGAAATTATTTCTCTTTTCTTAATAGACTGGAAGGAAAGAAAAAGGAGATCCTCTAAACATTGCAATTGATAAGATGACCAAGAAAACAAGAGATCTAAGGAGACAGGTACTCTTTTTTGTTTTTATTTTAAGTGCATGGTACTTAGTGGTGGTTTCCAAGAACGTCCTTTTTCAGGGTGCCTTCTTAGAGCTGATGTTCAGGTTGCTATTCTTTATAACATCTACATATTACACAGACACACTTCATCTACCAGGTAGAGTCTGCTGAGCAGACAGCTGTGACAGCTGCAAGAGGTGTGATGATGAAAACAACCTCGGAATGGGCAGCCTGCTCATGGCCTAGACACAACCTTTCCAGGTAGAGACTGGATGAATTTACTACCTTCGACATCTAGTTTTCAGATTTCCAGATCCAGGTATGCAAAGAGTTGTCTCTGATTTCTGCTGGTTCTTACTTTTCAAATTTCCAAGGCATTCAATGAATAAACCAGAATGCTAATGGTTAATGAGAAATACAACTCTGATGTGCCAATTAAGGTCTCTGACCCAGTGTATTCCTTTGGGGTCACAAATCTAAGGGACAGTTTTCTTATCAGATGGTTTTTTGGGAAGCAGGGAACCAAAGCAAGGAAAGTCAGTTGGATGATTTGAATGCCTAATGGCATCGTTCATCTGATGGGTCCGTTTTGGGGGGGAGCGTAATCTCTGGTCAGGGCCCTTTTTCCTCTTGAAAGTGCTATATGAACACTGGTAACCCTATTGTCTTGTAACCTTTATTTTTTTGTTTCCATGGTGAGTTCCACTTTCTCTTTGGGTAGTGTTCTTTCTCTAGAAGAGTTATATCATCCATTAAGTTACAATAAAATTCCTTCTTGATTTTTGCCTGAGAGGCATCCTGTCTTCTACTGGTAGCTTTTGCATATATCCATCTCATTCCTTAAGTGTTGTTTGTGTTAGTCAGCTAGAACCACCCACTGCCCCAGGGCAACACCAGCTTTGCTTTCTGCAGCTGGAAAAACTGGACTGGCATGGCTGCATCTAGCACTCGCTCCTGTACCATGTCAAATACAGATAAGATCAGTAAGGTGCTGGGGCAAGAATGGCCAAGGAGCATCTTAGGAATGGTTTGAATGGGAGGAAGACACCACTTCTGATTACTGCTGGGGAGTTTCTGGGCTCTTTTCAAGATATCACCAGAAGGTGTAGACACACTTGAGCTAATGTCCTCCAGAAGATATCACAATTAGTTCTGGAATATGAAGACTCTAGTTTGACTGCCTAGCTAACAAGCTCTCTTGGGGAAAGTGTTTTCTTTTTATTTTACCTTGGAATAAAGGAGAATAAAACATTGTCCTCTTTGGCATTAGTAAGTAATACCAAATAGATATATGGCCAGGTCTGTCTCTCCTTGCCCTCTTAGATCATCTCTCCGTACAAAGCCCCCATCTGATGTGAAATGATATGGGTAGTAGGAATTGGGACTGGGGTTAATGGAAAACATGGAATCAGGTCTCTAGAGCCCAGGGTTTTACTTCTAGCTCTGCCACTGAACTGCCCGTGAGACTCTGGATCCTTCATCTCTTGGTCTCCTTTTCTCATCTAGGAAAGTAGGGAGCCAAACTAGATCTGTAAACTGTCTTTTGGCTGTATAAGATTGAATGAGTCAACCCTCATTCATTTCCTATGCCACAGGTGCTAATGCCTGATAGTCACAGATTTTAAAAAGCTGTGGGGCTTGCCTTTGGCTAGATTGTCAACCAGACAAAAATCATGAACTGAGTCTTCTCACCTCCCCAATCTCTTAGTCTGAGTAGGGGACCATTCTTTTACATTCAGGAGCTAACACCCTCAGTTCTCTGCACTCATGGACCTATCATAGCAATGTTTTGTCTTATTGAAGGAATGGATAAGGAATTTTTGCTCTGGTGTCACAATTCTCAGAAAAGGGTTGACTGTTTTTAGCTGGGGACAGTGGTGAAATTTGAAGGTGGATTTTATGGTGGAATTTTAAATGCTTTGGTGACAAGCTCCTTGGAGAGCTTCTTTTAGGTTGGCAGTGGGAGGCGTATGTCATCCCTTGAAATCATTCCATGCATAAGATAGTATTTTTATGCTCACCTTTTCCAAAGATCGAGGAGAATAAAGGTAAAAAGAGAATTGTTTCATGATATTGAAATCTAACAGTTATAGCATAATTTTACATCACATCCCTGAATTTGGTTCAAACATCTTTCTCTTCCCCAATCTGCCTTTCTAGAACTAAGATAGTCCCCATCTGTCAGTTCCATCCCTACTCATATGTTGGGATATTTTTGTCTTTCTTCCTATCTCTTCTGTTTCTCCATGTACACCTGTAATGGTACAAAAGCTTCTCTGATCTCAACAGAAGCTACCTAGCACTTATGCAGATGGAATATGCAATGACTCTGATTAGCTTGGCTCAGGTAGATCTTCAGCTTAGATCTGGGTAGCTAGTTAATTGGATTAACAAGGTTTTATGTAAGTCTCTGATAGCAGCTATGTAGTGTGGCCAATGGATGCTAGCGGTTCAAATGAATGTTTCTCTCTTGCTGAAACAATTTCTGTTCTTTCAGTTACAGACAAGCCTTTGTTAGAAGAGATTCTAAATGAGAACCCTCAGTTATCCGTGTCTACTTCTCTGTACACATTTATTTCTTTATAGAATATTTAGAGCAATCAAATTACATAGGAAAAAAAGCTGAAATCAAAGAATAATATTTCTAGTAACTTTATAAGTTCCCACTCTTTCAGTCTCCTGCCTCTTCCTCATAGCCCTAAGGCTGGGCAGTGTCCTTCAGAAGGGTAACTTTGGATTCTTGCAAAGTTCTAGTCACCAAATTAACAAGAAATAAAGTCAATCATGATCATTATCTTGGTCTTCTCTAATGAAAGAAAGTAGACTTAAACTTTTGTAGACACTTGAAAAAAATCAAGAGTAATTTAACAAAAAGCATTTCTAAGTAGAATTTTCAAGTAAGTAGAACCCCTTTCTTCAGGTAGTATATCCCAAGGAACTGGGGAATCATAAATTGTGAAAAAGGTCACAGGACCCCAAGGGTGTTATGGCTTGGAACCATCTTGCCAATTAAACTCGTGAGAGTAGGCAGTGATAGAGCAGAATCCTCTTAAGAGTATTTTGTTTGGATTTAAAAATAATTTAGGGGAATATAACTACCAGCATTAAACATGAGGTTTTAATTTTAGAGCTATGGGCACAGGATGCCCCATGTCTGAGCTACTGTCACCGCTGTGATTCTGGAATAAGACCATTATAAAAACAAAAGCTTTGGCTGACTCCCTGCCTGGGTACCTAGTAGCCCACGCGGTCTGTCCATCCCTTAGATGACTCAGTTGGTATCTATCAGCTGCTTCTCGACATCCTCCTTCTATGTGCCACCTGTGAACTATTCTAGGCATGATCTCTTAATTTTCTGTAAACTTACAGGGATGCTGGTTTATCCTGGTTATTATTTTGGTCCTTTTGTTAGTCTTTTTTTTTCCAAGTTGATAAGCAAATCAGGACCCAAATGTTCCCCTATGAGAAGCTAATAAATAATGATCATAACATGTTAGGGTGTTGCTAAACTTAGCAACTCTCTCCTTCCCAAAACCAATCAAGGGCCTAATTCTTATCCCTTCACCCTTAATAGCCATCACAATAATTCCAGCAATGAGATGCAGCGAGTATCTACTTGACAAAAGTGTCAATTTTGCTGTTATAATCAAAACATTTTCAACAGACAAACAAAAACCATGTATAGAACGCTTTTACATTGGGTTGAATACTTAATAGAATGGATTATATGACAAAGGATTAAAAACAAACAAGCAAAGCGTGTCACATAAAGGTCGATTTATCAAGACCTTTCCTCCAGATAGGACTACCGAAAAATCTTCCAAGATTAAAAAGAAATAACTATCGTTGAAGAATTTCCTCAGCGGTCTCCTTTGTGAACCTCCTTTTGTAAGAACTATGGCTAAAGGTGGGCAGTCATCAGCAAGAGCTTGTAAACTAAACTATAGCTGACAAGTATTGAGTCCTTACAATGTGCCAGGCTCTGTTCTAAGTTCTTTCCATGAATGGACCGCATTTAATCCTCACACCAGCTTTGTGAGGTAGAAAAGATTGTCACCATGCCCCTTTAACAGATGAGGACATGAAGCAAAGTAATGCACCCATGGCCACACCAAGTGTGGATGCTTGGAGGTTCCAGCCTATCAGTCTAGCTGTAGGGTCTTTGCTCAGAACCCTTCCCCATCCTGCCTCTCCATAGAACCAGCATATGCAATTGGGTCACCCATATACTAATCTACTCTGGGGGATGCAGTTGGGGAAGAAGGAGGGTTAACATAAATATGTAGAGGTGCTTTGTGGTTTTCAATAGCACCTTCACCTTTACTGCTTCAGAGTTTGGGTTGGGTGACATGTACGTATTGCAGGCAGAAAAAAAAATCTGTGGTGAATGTCAAAGATATGGTTCTTGCTTGTGATATGGTATGGTCTCTCAGGTCTCCAGCTGTTATGGTTCGTTGAATCCTTTTTTTAAAAAGAGCTATTATGTTTAGGTAGCTGTCTTCTCAAAGCATGAATTTTAGGCTTTCCAAAACATTTACAAAAAAAAAGGAATTTTAAGGCATTCAGTTCTTTTTGTCACATCTGCTCATGATGGGGCCAATTATTTTTAGATTCATTGTAAGAAAACTTTTTAACATTGTTTATTTCCAGGCTTGAATCTGCTTTTCCTCATAAGGATGTGAGCCTATCTATATAGGTACAATAAAAAAATTAAAATTAAAATTAAATATTGATTTCCTCTAAATGTTCAGGTTTATGTTCTTCACACTGAAAATGTATGTCAGAGCTAATAACCCCTGGAGTTTGCTCCCTAGGTCAGATTGCTGTGACGTAAAAGTATAGAGACCATAAAATGATCATACAGAAATTGGGATTTGAAATGCAGAACATAAGCAACTCAGGGACAACTGAATATAAATGGCATCAGAAACACTAAAAACTCAAAAAGGCTGGGAGGAGAAGGGCAGAGGTAGGAGAGGGCTCAAGAGCACTGTGAAAGACCATCCTTT